CCAAGTCGGAGACCTCATCGGTCACCGTGGAGAGGATCCATCCTTGAAGAAAAGCATCGAGTTGAAACCATTCATCGTTATCAGCGGATGATGGGATCTTGAAGAGGAGGCGGCACCATTTTGGTAATTGGGTTGAGAAAAACTCAATTGTATAGGAACATGAAGCTTGATGTTGGATATGGCCGTGAACGCCAAGTGGGGAGAATTTGAGGAGGTAGAGGATGAGAGAGATTTGTCTGTCGTTTTGTCGGAAGAGTCCATGAGTGGAGGAAGAAGACAAGAGAGAGAGACGACGGAGGGGGGGGCTGTTGCGGTACTGGTGCCGTGAGGGAGGAGGAGCCGAGAGCAGGGAGGAGGAAAAAAAATAGGTTTTTGGAATAGGCTCTAATACCATAAAGAATGAATATTTTCAATTAATGAAACGTGTAGGAGTACAACCGTATTTATATAGGACGGGACTCCTAATGATGATAGGAATACAAGTAAGGAAACCTATACAAATGGTAACAACCAATAATACAATGATATGATAATAAATACATTAACTATACTTAACATAAATATATATATTAAATATATTTAACAAGAATTTCTTTACTCATATTTTTTAAAATAGTTTTCCTTTCGTACACTTATATTATATATACACATATACATATACATATACATATACATACATACATACACACACACACACACACACACACACACATATATATATGTATATATATATCTATGTATGTATGTATATGTATATATGTATATATCTATGTGTGTGTGTGTGTCTATATATATATATATATATATATATATATATATATATATATATATATATATATATATATATATATATATATATATATATATATATATATATATATATGTGGGATTGACTCAAATCAGATGACACCTTACGGTGAGATCACCACATTACACTACAACGCTCACTAATGGCCAATGCAAAGCTCACCACTTTGAACACCAAAACACACTTTTTTTTATTTTTTAAAATTAAAAAAATTAATAAAAAAATAAAATGTCAACACCGGTGAGCAGTGGAGTCTGGCGACCGGCGGTGGCAAGTGGCGGCGGCCGACTAGAAGCGACAGGCGGCGTGGCAAGGGCGGCAGCCGGAAATCAATGGTGGCGGTCAACGATCAAAATCTAGTCAGCACTCTTTCCATTGATTTTATTTTTTAAAAAAATCAAAGTGCTCAAAAAATATGGTGAGCTTTGCCTTACAAGTAGGTGAGCTTTGTAGTTGTACTTGGTGAGCTTTGGAGTAGTTAGTGGTGAGCTTTGCGTCATCTGACCATAGCATGTCATCTCATCGTAAGGTGTTATCTGACTGGAGTCAATCTATATATATATATATATATATATATATATATATATATATATATATATATATATATATATATATATAGACACACACACACACACAGATATATATATATATATTATATATATACGTACTCACACACACACACATATATGTATGTATGTATGTATATGTATATGTATATATAGATATATGTATATATATAATATAAGTGTACGAAAGGAAAACTATTTTAAAAAATATGAGTAAAGAAATTCTTGTTAAAAAATATTTTTATCTTTTGGAAAATATTTAGAGTTAAAAGAAATAAAACTTTGCCACACTCTTTAGAATAAATCTAAGAATCTCAAAAACAAATACTAAACCTATATCTTCAAATCTTGAGGTCTTGATCAACTTCTGGATAAGTTCGTCTTCTGAAACGTAGATAGAGCATTTTAGATCCATGAGCTTCCTCCACAAATATTAAGGCGTTTGTCATTAACCAAAAAACAACAATCAACATGGTGATCCACGCAGGCCTCTCGCGGGCCACGCTCTCCTCTCGTGATCCACGCTGGCCGCCCGCGGCCCACATTAGCCTCACACTGTCCACGCCGGCCTTCAGTGAGCCAAGCCGTGCAGCAAGAATTCGACGTCAAATTAGCCTACCATGTCCAGCTTCCAACGGCCGTCCGACATCCTGGGTTTGATGAGCCTTAGCTTTGACGTCCATCAAGCCTTTGGCGTCTAATGAGCCACCGATGTCTAGTGTGCAAAGGCCATATGTCAAGTTAGCCAAGGTGTCCAGCAGGCTTCCAACATCTAATGCCCAAAGGTTATCTCTCGTTCAGTGAGCTAGGGCGTCAAACAAGCCTCCAGCGTCAAATGAGACTCTAGTCTCTAATGAGCCTACAATGTCCAGTGACCAGGGCATTCACCAAGCCTCCAAGGTCCATCCAGCCTTCGATGTCCATGGAGCCTTCAGCGTCCAACGAGCCTGCGACGTCGAGCATCCAGTGTCTTGCAGCCAATCCGAGCCAGAAGTAGCACTTTTAGTCCTAGGCGAGCTTCTAGCAAGCCAAAGATAGCAGGAGCAACTCAAAGCACCATCCATCTCAGATGCAGTAGTAACAAGCCTTCCAATCAATTAGTGAGGCATGGCGAGCTCAGGTAAATCACGTCGAGCTCCTGCAAGTCCCTTCAATGAGCAATACAGTAATTGTGTTTTACAAATAGAGAAGAGTAATATTGTAAAAGAATAATCCATAACTCAATCAGATTTGATTTAGATGATTGGATTACTGGAGGTAGCAAGAGACTCTTGCACCAAGATATAGAGAGAGGTGGGCAGGGAATATCTATCCTTCGATAAGAGCAGAGTGCCCAACAACCGTCAGATATCGGGGTTGCAATTCAGAGGCTCCCAAAGAAAACAAACCATGAGAAAAAAACCTTCTTTTACGAATCGTGGAGGTAGACCCTCTTACACGAGGCACCCTCAAGCCCCGAGAAAAGTCCTCTTCCAAGAGGCACCAAGTCCTCTTACTGAGGCACTAAAGAAAAGTAAATGAATGAAAAGCCCTCTTCCACGAGGCGCCAAGCACTGAGAAAAGTTCTCTTCCAATAGTCACCAAGTGCTTTTCCCGTGGCACTACAGAAAAGTAAATGAAAGAAAAGCCTCCTTCCAAGGGGCTCCAAGCCTCGAAAAAAGTCCTCCTCCAAGAAGCACCAAATCCTCTTCCCGAGGTACTAAAGAAATGTAAAAGAGAGAAAATCCATCTTCGAAGAGGCACCAAACCTCGAGAAAAGTTTTCCTCCAAGAGGCACCAAATCTAGAGATAAGTCTTTCCCCGAGGCAACAAAGAGAGTTCATGTGAGACAGTAAATTAATAAAATTTATGACTCCATATCGTTTCCCGAGAGAGACTCAAAATAAGGGGGCATGTGATGGATTAGAGATTTTATCCGATTTAATATTATTTGAATACCACACATAAGCCTAATTCAATTCGACCTAAGATACAAATCAGATAAATTATTTGAGACAAAACCAGAGATATACGAATGGGAGAAGATATTTGATTAGATATATAAATATTGAGAAGGACCGACAAAATTTGTATGCATCTACCTAACATTGATTTAATCAATATTGGTTGGGCAATCAAATATACAAGGGCAATTCTAGGGGTACACCAACATGGGGTACCTCATTTGTACACGAAGCTAACACAGACACAAAATGTCTGTGTGGGCACAAACATTATCTATCTGTGTGTCTGTGTTAGCTTTGTGTACAAATGGAGTACTCCATGTTAGTATACCCCTAGATTGATGTAATATACTAATGTCTCACCACTCCCACTATTGAAGGGAATCCACGGGAAGAGAGGAACAGCGCAAGTCTCGAGGCTACCTTGACATACTCTACTTAGGTCTTCTACTCTGTATCACTTCTTCCATTTTAAGCTTGTAGCTTCATTAATGGCTCCAAGCTCCTACAATCAGTATGGTATCGCTTAAAAAGGCCCGTGGTTTTCACCCGATTTGGATTTCCACATAAAAATGCTTTCTTCCTGCTCTATTTTATTATTTCTTCATTGAACTTCGATGTTTCCATCAGGATGTATCCTTTTTCTTTTCATTTTTATCAAATTTCCAATACTTTTTTAAGAACAAAAAAAACGATTGGAAACTCTCTAAGATTCTTTTGCACCCAGGATTTGTTCATCAGATATGTAGAGCATTGGGGAGAGAGATATATATAAAAGTAGCGGATTACTACAATAGATATATGTGTTGGGGATTCCTCCAAGTCCCACACCGGAGGGAGAAGAAAAAATAGACCAAAATATATAGGTTCACCCAACCCCATTAGTATGAGGCCTTTTGGAAAGTGCCCAAAAACAAATCCGTGAGGGCTTGGCCCAGAGCGGACAATATCATACTAATGCGGGGTTGGGGTGAGGGCACGCGCAGTCCCAACATGTGGTATCGGAGCCCAGGTTCTTGCGGGCAGGAGTAGCGGACTGTGCAGTGTGGAAAAATCTCGGTGTGACGGTGTAACTAGGACCAAGACCAAGAAAGAGGATCTGCAGGTGGTGCCTTGTGTCGAAAGTCTTCCCGACGAGAGGAGGTCGGGCGACGCGTCCCGTGAAGTTATAGTCACGGCGGTACAAGATGATTTGGCGGATCAAATGGTGTAGCCCAGCGAAGGAAAGATCTGCGGTTCGAGCCTTGCGTCGAAAGTCTTCCCGACAGGAGGTCAGGCGGCGTGTCCCGCAAAGAGTGTGCGGCGGTGCAAGATGGTTAGCAGATAAAAAGGAAAAATGGATTACCGCTGGAGGGGAGGTCGGAAATTGTGTGGTCCTTGGTTGAGGGGAGGTTTGTTGGGGATTCCTCCAAGTCCCACACCGGAGGGAGAAGAAAAAATAGACCAAAATATATAGGTTTACCCAACCCCATTAGTATGAGGCCTTTTGGAAAGTGCTCAAAAACAAATCCGTGAGGGCTTGGCGCAGAGCGGACAATATCATACTAATGCGGGGTTGGGGTGAGGGCACGCGCAGTCCCAACAATATGTACTTATTCAGCTTAGAGATATGCATAGAAGAGCTGTTATGAATCTGCAGCAATGGACATATATTTTGCAAGAGACAGAGCTTGCAAGAGTCTAAAACGTCAAATTTATTTTTTTCGTAAAAAAAAAAATTCAAAATCAAATACATAAGCAATGATACAACTCTTACAGTTTTAAGGTGTATTACTTACTACCTACTCACACTATGTAAGGTAATGCTGCTAGCAGTAATTCTTAGGGTACAAGTTACTTTTACATTGCCTTCTCATGAGGGGTTTGAGTCACCATAACAATATAATCTATGATACACTTTCACAGGTAGCAGCCTAAATACAACTCCGATTCGTACATACAGAATTTCGAACCACTCGCGTTCATATGCATGGGCCACTCACATTATTGATCCTCGTCATAATCACCTTGCCGGATTTTCAAGATTTCAGCCTTTGTTCTCTCCAGCATCTGTCGCTTTTGTGCCTCCAACTCTCTGTGGAAATCCATCCGCATCTTCTCCAGTTCCAGCATTTGTTGTGTCTTTCTGTTCTCGATCTTCTCATACATCTTGCTGAATTTATGAATAGAGTCCACCAGTACTTTCAATGAAGATTCATCCCTTCCTGCTGTCTGCCCTTTCTTTGCTACTCCACTTGGAAGAAGACCCTCTACTGAATCGTCACTCTCCCTCTTCTCCTCCATGCCATTGATAGGTAAGTTTTTATGAGATTTGTTGGGCTCTCCTTGTTGCTTCTGGTTAGACGACAGTAAAGCATCCATCTTTCTGAAGTATACCCACCTACCCGTCACGCTTTTCGTCTCTCCAACCTTCATCTTTTCCTTTTTGTATTTCTTTTTCAGGGTATCCAAACGGTTCCTGCATTGCGTATCCGTCCTTTTAATTTTGGAGTCAAGAGAGACCTTTTTGGCCACTTCTCGCCACTCCTCAGACCGAAGGCTTTTCCTCCCTTGCTTGAGAAACCTATCCCCCCAAGCATCCAGTAAAATGAATGTCTCGTGCTCAGACCAATCTGAGAGTGGGTTCCGCCCACCACTGCCAGCAGCCGGTGCCCGAGGCGCAAACTCATAACTAGACAACAAGCTCTTCAGCTTCCTCTTCTTCTGAACCTTCTTCGAATCTCCATCGTCCGTATCATACCCATCCTCCTCCTCCTCCTCTGCCTCGCTGTCATTCTCTATATCATCATCATCATCATATTCAGGAAGATGTTTCAGATTTTCGGGCGACCCATAATCATCACTCATCCTGCCCGTGTTGGGAGGGTACTTCGCATCATCCTCGGTGTCATTCATTCACTCACGAGTCACAACAAATCAATCTATCAAAAGAATCTCTTTTAAATCCTAAGCAGAAATTAATGAACTGTTTTTTCCTCTCGACAGCAGATTCCTTTACTGGATACAAATAAACACACAATCTCTTCTATTCCACTTTCCATTTTAAGGCAAATTTAGAGTCTTTCACGAAAAACACTTGTATATGAACACCAATTACATCAAGTGGCATCACACACAAATCAAACCCAGGAATCATTCGTTACCATCTTCACCGCACGCAAAAAGTCAACAAAAACAGTGAAGAGTTTCTTGTTTATAACGGAATTGCAGAAGAAAACCAAGGGTACTGGAAACAAGAAGCTTCTTACCTCATTTAAGCGCCGGAGTTTGTACTTGGGCAGCTCCCAGTTTGAAGCGTTTCGCCCCAATCGAGCTCCGAAATCGCAGAAATTAGGTGAAAATAGATGGGGAAGTGAGAAATTGGCTGGGGAAGTTAAAAGACTGTAAGGTATCGAGACACCAATTGCATTTCTCACCCACTTGGGATCTACTAAGACTCTGAGAGTGAAAACTAAAAACTGAGAACTCGATCTCTTGCTTGCCCCAGCTTGGAATCGGATGTAAGAGTAGGATTGAGTTTGCACGTTTAATTCACATTAGCCCATGTAGTTTTTGTGTCTTTTAGATTGGCCCATTCTTTTGGTCTAGGATAACTTTTTGAAGCATGCTACTGTACCCCAAAATTTGTACCTCATTTGTATACCAAAGATATGCACTAACATTTTGATGGTTCACACTGACACAAAGTGTCGGTGCGTTAACCAAAAATTATACTGACACAAATTGTTGGTGCGTTAACAAAAATTAGCATTACAACACAAAATGTTGATGCATCCCTGCGGTGTACAAAATGGGGTACAAATTCTTGGGGTACAAATAGCATTATCCTAAGTTTTTGGATAAAGCTATTTGTACCCCAAGAATTTGTACCTCATTTTGTATACCGCAGGGATGCATTAACATTTTGTGTTAGTGTAATGCTAATTTTTGTTGACGCACCAACACTTTGTGTCAGTGTAAATTTTTATTAACGCACCAACACTTTGTGTCAGTGAGAACCATCAAAATGTTGGTGCATACTTTTGGTGTACAAATGGGATACAAATTTTGGGGTAAAATGTAGCATGCTCCTAAGTTTTAGTTCAAATCTAGATCATGTTCTTAGATTTAGTAGTTGGTTGTCGGAAGTTGGTGTTTGGTTGTTTCTGTTCACTAGGTTAATATAAAATAACTAAATTAGGAATAAAATATGTAGGTGATATCAAAATAAGATTACAATACCAATAATGCCACTATATAGTACTAAAAAATATAATAAGATATTACTGTGCAATGTCATAATATTTTTGCAAAAAATTGCTGTTGGGTACCCCCAATTTTGTAATAAGAACTCCCGAGTCCCATTGTTTTTCAAAATATACTTCGAGTTACCTTAAGATATTCGAAAATTGATTCCGTGGTGACAATCCGTCACTCTCTCCGTTAACTTCCCTCTTCCGTTATTTTCTTCTCCTCCTCCTCCTTCTTCTTCTTCTTCTTGGTCTTCTTCTTCTTTTCTTCTTTTCTTCTTCTTTCTCCTTCGCCTTCCAGTCCTTTCCTCCCCCCATCCTCGTTTTTTTTCTTCTTTTACTTTTTGTTTTGTTTTTTTCTTCTTTTACTTTTTGTTTTGTTTTTTTCTTCTTCTTCTATTATAATTATTATTATTTGTTATTAATTATTATAATTACTTCATATTAATTGTTATTTTCTTATTCTATTATTATTTTTATTATTATTAATTTTTTAATTTATTATTTTTACTATTATTATTAAAAATTATTTGTTTGTTTTACCACTCTTTTCTATAAAAACACTAATTGTTATTTAGAAAAACAGCACTTATTATAAAAACCACTTATTATTAATACTATTATTTATTTTAAACAATTAATTAGGGATTTTACTTCTGTACTTTTTTATAAAAATACCACTAGTTATTATTACTTCATATTTTATTCATTTTATTCTTTTCTCAAGTCCTCTTGTTTTCTAGATTTACCGTGACACCGCTACCAATGGCGACTACCAATGACTAATGCGAGGCTAATGCGAAAGATATCGGAAGCCGAAAAATTAGAGCAGTAAAACAACTAAAAAAAATTTTACAATGATAATAATAAGTGTTATTTTAAATAATTAATACGTAGTACTATTTTTCTAAATAATATTGATTGTTACTCCGTATTTCTTAAAAATAGAGTACTAAAATTACTACTTTGTAATTAATTTTTAATAATAATTAAGAAAATAATAGGAAATAAATAAGAGTACTATCTCCGTCTCGGAGCATATGTCAGGTTTTGACTTTTTTCTATCAACTGTTTTTAACTTTTGACCTATAATTAAATAAAACATATATTGTATATTAATTCGATAAAGTAATATTTTGAAAATATTTTATATATTAAATCTAATAAAACTATTTTTGTATCAATATCTAATATTATTATTTTTTTAATTTAGGGTTAAATTTTATCAATTTTTACCAAAAAAATCAAAAGTAGACAAAATACTCTAGAACAGAGGAGTAATTAATATGAAATAATAATAATAACTAGTGGTATTTTTATAAAAAAGTATAGAAGTAAAATCACTAATTAATTGTTTAAAATAAATAATAGTATTAATAATAAGTGGTTTTTATAATAAGTGCTGTTTTTCTAAATAACAATTAGTGTTTTTATAGAAAAGAGTGGTAAAACAAACAATTAATTTTTAATAATAATAGTAAAAATAATAAATTAAAAAATTAATAATAATAAAAATAATAATAGAATAAGAAAATAATAATTAATATGAAGTAACTATAATAATTAATAACAAATAATAATAATTATAATAGAAGAAGAAGAAAATAAACAAAACAAAAAGTAAAAGAAGAAAAAAAACAGGGGTGGGGGGAGGAATGGGCTGGAAGGCGATGGAGAAAGAAGAAGAAGAAGAAGAAGAAGAAGAAAACGGAAGAAGGGAAGTTAACGGAGAGAGTGACGGATTGTCACCCCGGAGTCAATTTTCGAATATCTTAAGGTACCTCGGATTATATTTTGAAAAAAATGGGACCTGGGAGTTCTTATTACATAATTGGGGGTACTCAGCAGCAATTTTTTGATATTTTTGGGATGAAAATATGGAAGCTTTATTTTGAGGATAAGTACTACTCTTGTATTTTACTTTTATTTGAGTTGATTTCTTTTGATTTAAATAAATAACTGAGTTAGCTATTTTGACCTACTAATTGTGTTACATGTTAAGAAAAAGATATTTAGAAAATTTAATTAGTTATAATTAATTGTTTGTGGATAAATGTGGTCCGGACCACCAGGCCAAAAGACCACCAGGCCACCCACCAACAAACCCGTGATCAAATTGGTCCGGTCCAGGCCAAAAGACCACATTCATCTTGCAAAATATACTACGGTCTATAGGATCCGAACACTAAATCTCATGTTTTCTATATTCAACTACAACCACCTTAGCTAGAGTACTCTTGTCTCATAAATTAAATAAAGTGGTATAATATAATATATTTTTGATTAAAGAATAAAACCTCTAATAAAATGATTTCTTTTCATAAAACATTAAAAAATACTCCCTCTGTTTCGAAATAAACTTCTCGGTTTGACTTTTAGTCATTTTTAAGAGTAGTTGACTATTAGATGAAATGGTCCAAAATATCCTCCCTTGCTAGCCCCTAACCCTGCACTGCCAATTGCCCAATCTAATCTCTGCCAAACCCTATCGCCGGCAGACCCTATCGCCGCTAGCCACAATCGTCGCCAGACCCCCCCCCCCCACAACTACCAGTTTCACCATTGCCAACCCCACCAACACCCCATCGCCGACAGCTCCCACCACAACAGTCAATCCCTCCATCGCCGCCACCCCCACCCCACCATCGTAGATCTAGAAGAAAGAGAAGACCGCACGGGAAGGGAAGAAGAAGATGTAACGCCCCGAAAATAGGCCTATCAGAATTAATTAATTGATAGTTAATTAATTACTGAGAAGGACCCCAAAAATAAGTGAATTATAAAGTTTATCAATAATTAATGAAAATTATATCGTTGTGTAGAGTATGATTGTCTGACCCCAACGGTTCAATCGGATTTCAATTTAGAGAAAGTTGGACAAAAAAAGTAACCCGATTGGGACCAAAAATTAGTCCCAATTATGGACTACACTCCAATCGGCGCTTACTGTTTAATCGGCGCACTAGCCGATTTGAGTGATTCAGGAATATTTCTTCAGTTGGTTTCTTCTCCTTCCTTCCTCTATTTAAGGAATCCTAACTCTCTCAATTCTCCACCAAATCATCCCAAATTTCTTTCTATTCTGCTGCCCTGAGTGAGGAGAGTTTGCTGGTGCTTCCATTTCAGAGAGAGGTCGCCGGAGTTGAGAGCTTTTGTCGCCGGAAGTTTCGCCGGAAAATCTTCAAAACCTCCATTACACTTCGAGGTAAGCCCGTAGATATATCTAATGACTAGAATGTTCATACAGGTCGTTTCTACATTCATAAATGGTCATTTGGTTGAGTTTTGTGTTTGACATGTTTGAAGAACTAAGAATCATAAACCTTGAATTTGATGTTAAAACTATGAATTAATGATACCATAATGATCCATGAACATTGGAGAACATTTCTATATAGTTTAATTGAAGTTTGGTGACTAAAAACGAAATTCCTGAAAATAGACCCGAGGAGGAAGACGATGAACAGTGCACGGTAACCCACTACCGCCAGCACGGTAGGTAGGTACCGTCTAAACGGTACCCATCTACCGCCGGGACGGTAGGGAGCTACCATCGCCACCAAGCTCCTCTGGCGGTACCTGTCCACCGGCGGTACCCCCCTACCGCCGGCACGGTACCGAGATACCGTTAGCCGGAATTGAGGTACCGTGAAGGGTACCGTTTGATCCGATTAATTTCTAGGAAATCCGATTTTTGAAACATTAAATCTTATTTTTGACACTAATCAATTATGATCAATATGAATAATAAATTATGGAAATAAAAATGATGTTTTGACAATTAAAGACCTTACGTGATGCATGACGGTACGCTAGGGTGTTAACATTCGAAGCTAGACTGCTAATTGCTATTACTTTGAATGTTATATGATGCATTATTATTATGGATTAATGATGATAATTATTCTGAATTAAATAATGATTATAAAGTATTGAAATGAAATCAAAATAAATGGGTTGATAAAAATGAGTGGTATTGGTAAGACTATCTAGAAGACCTCTAAGATAGACCTCCGATTAGAGTGAGCCTTGCGGGTATAAACATGTATATTCGGTGGCCTTGGGTAAAAACGTACGTATGGGATCCATAACCAAACTAGAGGAACTCGTTTGGGGATACCACCTAACCCGACAGTTAGTATTCTACTGTTCGCTTTCTGGATTTGTACCTTAAGCGAAGGCTAGTTTAAGAGTTGGTAAATCAATCGGAATATATGTACCTTAAACTAATGACCTAGCTTAAGAGTTGGATAGAAGTACCTTGAACTAGAATTAGTTTAAGAGTTGGTAAACATCAAAAAGATTGACCTTAGACTAAGTATAGTTTAAGGATATTGATGAATATTGAATATTGAATATGAATGTTGAATGTGGAGATATTGGAATAAAAATATTGAGAATATCATGAATGAATTATATATTGTGTGCATGATAACAAATGGTTGTTTGTGAATTGAGATTCAATTTATGTGGATGTTCGACGCTTTAGATATGCTTACTCAGCTTCACCGCTGAGCGTGTAGTACCCCCTTCGTCCCCGTAAGATGTTCTCATTTTGACTTTTGGTGGTTTTTAAGGAGAGTTGAAAAAAGGTGAAAGTTTACCATAATACCCTTAATGAAAAATGGGTGGAGTGTATTAAATGAGGTGGGTGAGGTGTAATAAGTAAAGTAAGTGGGGGTAGTTGTGGTATTTTAATTGTTAAAAAATGAAATGAGAAGATCTATTGTGGACAAAGAAAAAGGGCTATTGGGAAGATCTATGGGGGACGAAGGGAGTATGTTTTATCTGCTACACGCAGGTAGACAAAATGAATGAAGTGATGATTTCTGGAGGCAGACGGGAGCGAGATGGTCGTGGTGGTCATGTTAAATGAATTGATGTTTTAAAAGACATGAAATTATTATGTTTTGTAATTGTTATATATTCAGCTTCCGCAAAATTAAACTACTCCGTTATTATCTTGGATAATTTCATTATTAAATAAAGTTTTTAAATGTTTGAAATATTTGAATATTTACGAATACCAAATTTATTACTTTAGTCTGAAAGGGGCTGCAGACCTGGACGGATTAGGGTGTTACAATTTGGTATCGGAGCAAATGGTTTTAAAACCGATTTTTGGATCAAAAAAAATTGTTTAAAAAAATATTATATATATATATATATATATATATATATATATTCGGCCCTAACAAAAAAAATGATGTCAATCAAATCCACGACTCTCGCATCCCTCTGCTCTAGGAAGGTAATAAAAAAAATTGAGGATTGAAATTGACTGTATTAAATTTTATAGATGTCAACTGTTAATTCGGAAATGATATCAAGTGTTGATTCAAGTCGCACTTTCGTACTTGGTAAAAGACGAAAGAACAAGGGAAATGTATATGACTCACTGATACGTTACCAACGTGCCCATCGCTTTGCGAGAATAATGAAACGAAGGATTTATCTGCGCCGCAAGGCTGCATGGGAACGAGACGACCCGGAAGAAACGTTCAGTGTAGACTCTGCCAACAGTGTATGTGGATCGGGCATGGAAGATCCATATGTAGATTCGTCACGATCCAACCAAACGAACGCAGACGCTTAGAAAATTATCTTGTTGTTTGTTTCAAATCCATTCATTGTACCGACTGTTGTAATCATTTGCAATTCCTGTCTTAAACTCAACTACCGAATAAAAGAATCCTAATAAAGGAATTTCTGTTATTATAGAATGAGTCAAGAATCTGCCCACGGACAAGGCAACAACAATGAACACGTCAGTGTTCATACTGAAGCATCTAGTTTCACCCCTCCCGTCCAAAATGAACCCGTCAATCAACAAAATGTTGGGAATAACCCAAATGCTGGTGATCAACCCGACCTTGTGATTCTAGCTTTTCAGGCTAATGTGTTGCAACAAATAGCCAACGCGCCAATGTTTCAACCACCTCCACCACCGCCACCTCGAGTGATAACCTACAAAACGCTATGAGATAACGGTGTAGAATTATTCCTTGGGGATTGCATCGGTGAACCCCAAATTGCGTGGGACTGGATCGAGCAGACTGCTTGAGTGTTGGAGGATCTCAATGTACCTATGGATAATTATCCCAGACTGGCTTCTCAATTGCTTCGAAAGGAAGCCTACGAGTGGTGGAAGAGGACCGATGAGAGTGCGGGAACCCCTAAGCCGTGGACATGGGCACATTTCGAATGGGCATTCAAGCAAGAATATATTCTGAAACGTTTTAGCAAGGAAAGACGTAAGGAATTTGTTGAACTGGAACAGGGAGACATGACACTCCCTGAATATCGTCCGAAGTTTACCAAACTTGTAAAGTTTGCGCCAACCTTGGTGAGTACCCCATCCGATCGCATTGAGGAGTTCAGGAAGAAACTTCGACCTGACCTCAGTAAAAGGTAACCATGCAAGGATAGGCAGCGGAATATAAAAATTTTAACATCCTAACATGATTATCTTGCCCAGAATCACGTACTAAAACTTATAGTAAGTAAGAATTCATACCTTTCTCCGTAAGCGGTAAAACGAAGAAGTCGTAAGAAGAGCGTTCAAAGTGCAAACTTAACCGTTCAAGCGTCCGGTCTCCAACTTTGACACACGAACAACGCCGGAGTCTACCACAATCTTTATGCTAGTAAAGATTATAGTAGTATAAAATATAAAGATTAAAATTGGGATAATAATAATCTTGTATATTTCTATAGAAAATATTTCTACTAATATTTAGAAAATATTATAGATATTTTCTACACACAAAATGATATTAATGGAACACAAAAGAAATTTTCTCTCGCTAGAAAATACTATGGCCGAATGACACACTTGCAATAAATGTGTTAAAGTATAACGTTCACATACACCCATTTTATTCAATGTGCCGTGTAAAAAAAACAAAGTGTATAATCAAACTTTGTCATTAAGCTAAAGGTTAAAATGATTAACAATTAATCAAAGTTGATTTGTTAAATTTCTCAATCCTTTATGATATGGCAGAAAGTTTTGATTGTGAGAAGGATTTTCAAAATTCTTCTCCACTCAAATGTTCAAAGTGTATTTTATTTGACACCAAAGATTAATATAAAATTAATTTTAAATCAAATAAAAATACCCATATCATTTTTTAAACAAGTATACAAACATACTTTAAATAGTTTATGTCAAAATAATTATTTTCATAATTAAAATGTCAAACCAAAATAAAATATTCAACATATAATATATATATATATTTCGGTATTTATATATATAAATATATCACCGAATGTTTTACATATATATAATATTATATTCCAAAATATTTTATTTTACTATTTTACAAATATACAAATTACTTATTATCCCATTGTTTAATCCTACTTCTTAAATTGTTCAAAGTGTGTGACCCGTATAGGCACTTATAAAGCTGGCCACAGTATTGGCTCTGCACCAATACTATAAGCAATAGCGGTATTTAGCAACACATTATTGCCCCCAGATTATAAGTTAAGACGTTTGCACCGTCAAAACCTTTCCACGACTCAGACTCCGTGTAACTGTATCCCTTTGTCTCAATGTCTAAACTTAATGCAA